TGCATCAACACAATGCCTGAACATCACGATATATTACTGCTTTTTTGTTCCATATTTGAGTTACGTTATTTATCCGTCATCTTTACTGTCCTTAATTTTCTGACTCTATTAACTATACTTTTTGAATAACCATTAAAAAATAATTATTATGAACTTTTAAATTCGAATTTTGTATAAGCAATACGTGAAATCGTTGAACGAAATTGTTACCGTAAGATATAATTGATCGCATAAATAATTTTCGGACGTTTTTGATTTCAAATAACGAATTTCAGTCTGTGCTACCTCAGAAAAATGCGCGGTGGACAGCGCAGTTTGGCTTTCCCGAGCGCGGTGGAAACTGTACAGGTCTCTGTGGCGCGTATGGTCGGCTAAGTGTTAATATTTATTTTGATGTATCATTTACTACAGTACTAATAGAGACATTGTTACATTGTACATCAGGGCTCGGAACGAACTGCACGCAACGACGACGTCATCTAACAATTTCGAAATAAGAAGCTAAATGACCTATAGCCGCCCCGTACTCACACACGCCCAATTCCCCTCCAAACAGAGCGAGCCCCAGCGGGACCGCCGATCGGAGGAATACCGATTTCAACAATCTTCGAACGAAGTCTCCTTCCGAGCCTCGACTTGAAGTATAAATCCTCACAATTTACTTAAAAACGATACAATACAATTGTTACAGATTTATCCCCCATTTTAAAATAATTGCAGCTATTAGCTCGGTATCATCTTCGACTCAAAAATCATTGCAATTTGCAACATTTCTTGAATCGAGAATGATACCAATTGCCTGGGTCTCACCGCGAGGAGGTTACGGAGATTTTCTGCAGAGTCGGTAATTTTGACCCTAAAACAAAAAAAAAAAGCATCGCGTGCAATGTCTGTACGAACTCGGTCTGTGTACACGTAGCGACGAAACGCTGAAACTGGTAGCCAAATTATCAACCGTCGATTCTATCTAACAGTTTGAGCGTTTTACCACCTACGTGGATTGGCGCTTTAAAGTCAGCAGAAAATTCGTACCGCAATTTGCATTGCTTCTTACGGAGAAAATGGCTTGAATCATCGAACATGAATATTCAATATCGGAGCATGAAACGAAAAATCATTTATAACTAATATTAGTTGTAAATAAAATTAATTTATTCTAACTCGGATATGCGAAAAATCATTATAGGCACGTTGTTAAGAATTTCTTTCGGATTTTCAATTATATCGTATATTATAATATATTATTATTATAATATAATTATATTATATTATATGATGTGTGCGCAACATCGTTGCAATAACATTCATTAATATTTTAAGCCGTTAATTACACTCATTGTGAGTTATTTTCCGAGAGAATAGGAAAGGTCTGTCTTTTTAATAATTTTGTTTAATTATTAATTTTTGTTTTAATAATTTGTTTAAATAGTCGAGAATCGCGATAGCCCTAAAATAAGTGACCTTGATCGATGAAAAATGTTCAAACATCGCAGAACAAATACTTCTGGTGTGCATTATTTTGAAATGCAATAAAAGTTCGATGACGTGTTGTTTACAGAGTAGACGGCATTTCTTAAACATTTCTCAACATCTTTATTTCTTCTCAATGTACATGCTAACAATATAACGATATAGACAACGATACGTTCGTTAAATCCTCAAAATTTATTGTCGTACACACTTAAACGCAGATAATTCAATCGCAGAAATATTGTCAACATTTTTATACCTTAATTTGTTTCCAAGCTACACGCTACAAAATTACAACGATATAGACAACATACACACAATACGTTTTTCAAATCCTCGAAGCTTCTTATTGACATACACACACTTAGACGATAATTTAAACGCGGAAATATTGTCAGAAATCACAGATACTTTTATTCTCTGTACGCGACAGGTCTATGTCGACAATTCACAAGAGAACGAAAAATACGTCGCGTTTTTTTCACAATTTACTTACAAAACGGGGAACATCGAATCGGTGAAAAATATCGTTCAAAAATGTAGAATTAAGAAATGCGGAAGACTGGTGGACACACCTTGTTGATAAAATCGTTGGATAAAAATGCCCGTTTTTTTCTCGTCGTCTTTTTGTATAAACTGTCGGAAAGAAATCATTGCATCTATCTTACCAAAATAAAAACGGAAAACAAATTTATTCAAGTTCAAGAATAAATTGGCGGTTGAATTACGATGAATCTTCGTGCTATAAATTATGCGTTGTTTCACGGGATTCTTAGAACTATGCGAATACGTTTGCACAATGTGTTGCTGATACAGCAAAGTTACATAAGTGAGACTGTAAAATAATCTGCGATTTTTCGTTCCCGGGAATCCGTTTACTAGGAAGTTTATACCTTCGATTTAAAATTCCACTCCGCTGAAGCCGACGTCAAGATGTTGGCCTTCGAATCCCAAAGCGTGCTTTTATGTTAAGAAATTTTGTCGGAAGTTCTCGCAAATTATTTTACAATGCAATTCCACAACATAGAGACGTCACAATATTTTCTCGTATTACATCAAAATGTGACAACTATCACCTCCGTAACACTCTTTCAATTGTACTTCTCTTTCTATTGTCCGGCTATCAATCTCAAGGAATATACTTTTATAGAAATATATATTATATGTACGCATTAATATATCATATATCGTATAACATTCGATTCTCTGAAAATATATATACATGTATCTATACACGCTACCATTAACACATAAACTCTGCAACTCTGTTCAACTTTATCGATTGTAGGAGCATTCGTTTCACCACGGAACAGTCAATCGACTAACATCTCCTAGACTCCTCCTGGAGGTTTCAACAAGCTCTGTCAAACACCGGAATTTATCAAATGCAGGCTCGGGCAGTTCTTATTTCAACCATGGTGAAAACTGACAGATTCGAAGATAGAAATTATTTCGTCGAAGTTGTCATTTTCTATGAAACTCAAATAATTCCTTGTACGAGCTAACTTCATTATCCGAATGATGCCCAAGCCCGATCTAGCGCAAGATACTCTTTAACACAACTGTAGACTTTGCAATAGTTAACGACTAGAAGAATATATTAATTCGTTGGTAATAGTTCACGCGAAATATATTATAGGTATTGTCAGTGTTATTCGTTGTCGGGAGAGATGATTCGGGATGCGCCTCGAATTCGATTGGTGGTGGCCAGTCGAACGACGTTGTTTGCCGGCCACCTAAAAGCGAAGTCTGCGGATTATCAAAAAATTCAAGTAATCTCCCTTCTAAATTGGTCTTCGCGCAGCCGTGTCGCGATAATTGAATGCTCGCGGCTCCGTTCCCGGGCGATCAATTTTATTAATCGTGACCGGAACGGATTAGATCGCAAATGAAATTCCTGCGGCGCTACGAACGACGTGGCCCGCATGATTCAGCCGTTTCTGGGTCATCGAATTATTGAAAATTGTTCGGGGGAAAACGTGGTCCGTTAAAAGTTCATATTTGAAATCCCTTTTCAGATTCAATTTTGCGCTTCATCGAGATAGCGTCTAATCGTTCAATTCTCTCGTCGAACTTAATAACAGTCTCTCCATCGTCCTTTCTCGTTTTATAGGAGTTCACACGAGCTGCACCAATCGATATTGTTCGGCGCGTGATGTAGCTACGACGTCTGGGATCCCAAACAAGTTCCTGGTTACCATATTTAAATATTGTCCGCGGCATTTTGGGGGTTTTTCATCCGATTCAACGGATCTCACGGAGTTTCGTTTACTAAAAAATAGACTATCTCAACATTTTTTAGTTTCGCGAGTGTCGATATCAGCGACGCGTCTACAAAATTACTACTCGTTCAAAGCGCAATCTTAACTCCTACTCGTTCGATTAAATTAAACGTTACAATGGAATCGTCGCGTATGAACGGGAATCGGGAAGAACGATTATTGTCGAACAGATATAGGCCTCTCTAGCCTTCGATCGTCTCGATGTCTTCGGTGCATCGAGCTTATAGAAAAAGCATTATTGTCGTCGGTACACCGATGACTCGACGCGAAGATCTCTCTATTCCTACTTCGCATTCTTATAAGTCGATTCACAGCATCTCGAAACTCTTCGCTCTAGTACTTAAGGCTAAGAATATTATTATCATGAATATCACCGTTTCTGTTCCTTTCTTGCCTCTACGAAAGACAACCTGAGCACGTTCCGAGTCCCTCTTATACTTACTTGTACATACTCGAAATGATACGTTATCGACGGCCAGCGAAATATTTCCATAGAATTTCAGATCTTGAACGACGACCCACGTTCGCATTGCTTCATACAATTGTCGTTATTATTATTCTGAATTTGTTTGCTTATTCACGACGAAAACAGTATTGCATCTCTTGGTTATCCTTAGATTCTATCTTTAAAATGTACGCCGATTATATAAAATAAAGGAAGAGACAACATTTTTGAGAAACGACCGGACAGATAAGCTGCCGCTATTCTTGAGCCAGTGAGAATTGCATTAACGCCTCCGTGCAAAGAAGATGCATCAACAGCGAGGTATATGCTACTAAACACTTTTTCATGAAAGCGTTAACGCAATCTTAATTATCCATTTATTCGTAGTACTCTTCTTAATCTATATATCCGCGGAACTTGTTTCCCGGTTACTCCGTTTAGTATTGCACGATGCTCCCAAGTAAAACACGTACGATATACGGCAAACCGGAATAATATTAACGACAGATATAACAATGTTCGAAAGGGTCTTACGCGACACATTCTCGCGAATATTTCATTTAATTCAACATTTAAAATTCTATAATATTGTTAACGATACGTATTACCTCACTCCGGGTTCGGTACAGGAAATATCTGCACCAACGAATCGAGAAGTTGATCGATAAAACACGCTTGTGTTTCGAATCTCTTTCGACCTTTCGATTCTTCGCAAATAAAAATCATTTCTTTAGAATTTAGCATTCTGCCTTCGAAGATCGTTTGGTATGATGGTTGTCAGGAACGATCCGACGGCCAGCGTGACGCAGAGAGCAATGTTCGCCCAGAAGTCGCCCCATAAATTAAGGAAGTAACCGTAGACGATCGTGAAGACAATGCCAAACACTTGGCAGACCGCGTTCAGCAAACCAGCGGACGTCCCTTCCGGTTCTGGGTATGTTAATTCAGCGGCGAACTCGAAGCCGACCGGCAGGTAACCGGTCATGAAGAATCTGTCACGAACGATTTAAATTTGTATTTTATTGCACACAGAATTTGACGAACGATATAAACAAATACGGACGTACGGACGTGGACAGATATATGAGCCGTTTATTTTGAAAGTGGCATAAGTCACTTTTTCAACAAAATCGAGTTAATGGTAACACTAATTACAATCGAACGGTATCTTTTCATTTTTTTAAATTTCCAATCAATAAGTTGAGAACTATTGAGATTTGTTCGTGAGAAGTTTTGCTAATTAACGGTATAACAAACATGTTTATTTTGAAAGTGGCGTAAGTCACTGTACTCGGGAAATTAATTGCGGGGCTTAGTGTAAAAGAAATAGAAACGTGTGATAAGTGTGTGCGAAGTATTGTTTTGAATTATTTTCAGTATTTTTAAAAAAGTTGTGATCACTGGACTTATTTTTATAAGTGCGAAAGAATAGTGCAGTTTTGTAAATTATATTATAGTGTGATAATAATAATATAATAATATAATAGAAATGGATCCGTTATACGCTGGATCTCGTTCTGTTTCTTCAGCAAAATACAAAGACACGATGGACTTGCTTAATTATAAACC